GATTGGTTGACTTCTGAAGTGTGTCCTTCTCGCTTTAACAACTTTTGCAGTTCGTTTGCTTTCTAGCTTAAACTAAACGACTAGTCATTGTTCTGCTGAACCAAACGAGAAAACCTTTATCGGCGTTGGTTTCTCTACAGAACAAAGTTCTTGCAATCTTTCATTAAAGTCAAATTCTATTAAATTGCAATACTCCAACCATCTTCGGTAAGTTAACGCCGTTTTTTGGATGTTTTTTTTTTTCGAATTTCAACAAAGCATACTGGATACATCTTATCAATTTCTTCGTGGCAGGTTCCTTCATCTTCAAATGAATTTTGATACTCTGGCTATCTTGGCAGAAGACGTTTTAATCCATAACTGTCACGGTATCAATCATCTAAACGTTCTATGAGGAGATCAATATTTAAACAAGGGTTTCTATCTGCGATATGTCCCAGTGATGAATTAAGCACTCAGTATCAAGAGCTCGTACTTTTGTGTGTAACTGCTAACCTTTGAATTATTTGAAGGCATTCCCAACAAAGAAGCCATCTTTCTATACCAACAAGATGAGTGTTTAATACACGAATACCACTCAATCAGATGTCTATACTTTTGAATATGTACACAGTGTTGGATTTCGAGATGAAGTATATTTTGAGTTCTGTATCAATACTGTTTTATTCAATATCATGGAAGTATTTAAATAAATGAATAAAATATTTTCATTAAAATAAAACGTGAGTTGACGTAGAGACAGTACTGCAAGAAGTACTTTCAATACTCATTGGTTGCCGAGCAGCCGTTCATTCTTGTATCTGAGCTTAGAACAATTATCATGTTTATCATTGAAGGATTAGTGGATTAGTGTAGTTTTGCCATGGTTGAGACATTCATTGATCTGGGCGTAGTCCTTTTTCCAAGATCATCAAGGGGCTCCGAGTGGCCGAGTGGTCTAAAGCGCTGACCGTTACGAATCACTGCCATCTCACCTCTGTCTGCGTGAGTTCGAGTCCAGATTCGGCTAACGTGGGTAAGTGAGAAAGCCTGCCAGTAGCTTCTCGTGGGTCGGTGGTTCTTCTCTGGGTTTTCCAGGGTTCTTCCTCCACCATTAATACTGGCAGCCATGTATAAACCCTACAACAATAACAACAACAACAACAACCAAGATCATACATTTGCAGAAAGGTATCCATATTGAAATGTTCATATCTCGGGTACACTTTGTCTTCGAAAGTCTTCATTTGTTTATTCAATAGACTTTGACACTTTTTAATCTATAATCAGAAGGCAGACTTTAAGAAACAGCCCTATTTATTTATCTATTTATTTATTTACTTAATTTAATTTTTTTTGGATATCTTGAGTTTGATGACTATGCTGAGCTATGATGTGTATCATTACAAAAAAAATGTTAAGTGTAAAATGGGTTGAAGTCGGCTAAATGTCTTTATAATTTACGCGAATAAAATTTATATGGCTTTACTTATGTTATTTAGGTCCAATATTAGCTATGATTAAACAAACACCAAAATTATGTTGCAAAAAACCAATATGAACATTGAAAAGAATCTTTAAAAATGAGTAGTCCACATCAAAATGAAACATTGCAACACATTTGATCAAGACGGCAGCAGTTTTAGGTAAATTTTAAAATTAAACCAGCAGAATTGACGCCAACTATTAAATTGAATGACCAAATAAATCACAATTTGCGTACAAGATCTATACATTGCCAGAGCGACGTCTTTATATTCGCATCGATATATCACAACTACAGTCATCCATTTTTGTACTCCCATGCTTTTGGAAGCTTTCATAGACCAGAATTAAACAGTTCATATATCTAATAATGGTTTTATTCATCATTTACAGAATTATAAACAAAAGATCTTTTATACATAAAAAGTGAGTTTGTTGCATTCAATAAATCAATACTCAAATGAAGTGCGCAATATTATATTCGTATATAAACAATTACAACAAAAGCGCACCAAAACAACTTAAAAATGCATTCATGGATTTAATTCAGCTGAAACTCTTTACAGTAATCTAGAAATTGTGTAGGGTACATGCAATGGTTCAAGACTCGAATCTATGGTCTACCTGTACCTTCTTCCAACATGTCTAGTACATACAAATATTTTCCATTAAAGGAGTTAATGTATTGGTCAATTTACGATGATATTACCTGGTACATTGTCAATATACGGTAATATTATAAAGAATATTTCGGAATACCTTTTGCTGAGAGCTTCCCTAAAAGAAAAAAAGGACACTAAATAATGCAAGAGCCGTATCGAGTTGGCAAGGGAATATACAAACTGTACATCGAGATTCTAGACATAGTGTAAGGAATCGAGTCAATTATTGTTAATTTGCGAAGATAAGCGTCTAATCTAAATAAATTATTTATTCTTAAACAATTTACAATAATGACTGTCTGGATGTTTTACGCATTTAAAATATGTTGGTTTTTTTTTTTAAAACGTGGAGGTGTATGTACACAGTGCCGGATTTAGACATAGCAAGGCCCTTGGCTATGGGAAATGTATAGGCCCTATTTAGTATAATATAAATTTTAACCCATAAGATGTAGCTTTTTTAGATTTTGCCTAAATTCGGCACTATATGTACACAAAAGCACACTCACGTATATTCATATGAATTCACCAACAATCCCTTCATTCACTGGCATAAGTTACATATGTTTTCTAAATTATTAACTTATAAATATATAACCTGCGTGGTTTTGATGTTATTGTCACTACCACTACCACTAACGGTTCCCTTTAAAGGGACTTGTACTCCCTTTTCGGCTGTCTTAATTTCCTGTGGAAACAATGAAAGACCACCAACATAAGCAGTAAGATCTTCATGAATACCCCCTCCCCCATTATCATCTGAAACTATCAGTTTTCTTCTATATTTGTCGTGGAAGCAGCTCAGAAGTTATATATATATATATATATATATATATATATATATATATATATATATATATATATATATATATATATATATATATATATATATATATATAGAGAGAGAGAGAGAGAGAGAGAGAGAGAGAGAGAGAGAGAGAGATATGCATTCACATAGAGATACATACATTATGTATACACTCGTCAGTCAGTAACTATTTGATTTTTTTTTTGTTGTAATTATTGATCTTGTAAAGCTTTATGAGTGAGAAACAAATAAATAAAAATGACGTGCATATATTTGTGTCATTTGTTACAGATTCAATTTTTGTTTGGTATAACACGTTCAATCTCTCTACTGTCTGTCTGTCTCTCTCAACACATACACACATACACACACACACTCACACACAAACATACAGGAAGTTGGTATTGGATCTAGCAAAGACACTGGACACAATTAAGTGAATGAGTTATTTATTAAAATGCAGTTGAACAATGAATGAAACTTACACCATATTTGTGTAGTTAAAGTCTAACAATGGATTTAACAGAATGAATATGACATCAAGCTCGTATATTTGAAGTCCAACAATGGAATCAACGGAATGATCCGCAAAGAGTTTAACAACTGATATAAGAAAATTATACCGTTCCTAAACAGAATTAATCAGAGCAAGTAACTTCAACAAGTAATCAAACGAGAATCAATATAAGGAAGCAATATGATTGATATATCTGTTACCATTAATGATCAATTTATACAATTTATAAACAAATATGATTAATAAATGGATCTATCGACATGGATGATTTATTTAAAGAATGTATAAAATTACATGAACAATGTATTGTTCATCAATAAGCAAGATATATGTACTTTTGATTTTCACTTATATAGCGATATTGAATTATGCGGAATTATAAATAAAATATATGATGATTTTTCGATGTCCACGCGTTGGCCCTTTCCCCCGAGTCTGCCAAAGGTCACCTCGAGACACTTTTTTACTAGTCAGACCAGTTGGTCTGGAACCTTTGGTGTCTTACTGAGCAAACCAAAATCGTCCGCTAAGCCAACGCCAGGGATGACTGCAACATCCGTGTTATTCAATCTAAAGGAATTATAAAACTCACCAAAAAAACCACGTTAAATATCTGTTATTACTATGCCCAAAGTATAACAGTTTTAGTATGTGTTATGTCAATGTCCAAATTATAACAAGTTCAATATCTGTTGTAGCAATGTTCGAAGTGTAAAACGATCACTATTCAATTTTTTGTAACTTACTTCATGTCAAGAAGAACATGCATACAAGCAGTGATGAATGACATTATAAAAATAATTGAATATTTGTTTTTAAAGTATGACAATCGAAAATCATTTCTTCTCAAAGGTTATCGTTTTCGTAAGTACACGTTGATAACATTGATAAAATTAACATAGTAAATGCCCAATATATTCGTATTTGGGGACTTTTTGTTCACGGTGTAATATTTCCATTTTATTACAAAGTGTGTTGACCTTTGCATAGGCAAAATTTACCAAGATGTTACGAAGACTAATATCTAATGAATCCATCGTGTCTCGTTTCCCTAAATAATATTTCTAGGTATTTCAGGGAGACCTGTAATTAATATCTAATTCATCGTGTCTTGTTTCCCTATGTAATATTTCTAGGTACTTTATGGAGACCTGCCATGAATATCTAATCCATCGTGTCTCGTTTCCCTATGTAATATTTCTAGATACTTCAGGGAGACCTTTCATGAATAACATTTTCTTAATTTCCTGTGTACTGTATACACACCTGTTAAGAATACGTTTTCCTGAATATTTTCAAGGTACTTTAAGTAGGTCTGTCAAGAATACCTTTTCCATAATATTTTCTAGGTATATGGCCGCGGACAGGGTAGGGCAGTTAGGACAAATGTTCAGGGGGTGGGGAACTACCTCCGAAAAGAACATTACATTGTTTTTGTAATTCACAGGGGCCTGCTGGGGAATATGAGGTCTAAAATCCTTTCAAGACTTTTCAAAGTGTAATATTAAGTTAGACACAAACTTTAGGATCATAAAATTTTACTCCTAATGTTCCGGTGGCCTAGTGGTTAGAGCGTCCGCCTCGGATGCGGGAGGTCGTGGGTTCGATCCCCGGTCGAGTCATACCAAAGTCTTACAAAAATGGTACTAACAGCTACCTCGCTTGGATCTCAGCATTAAGAGGTTAGTGTTAGGACTGGTCGGCCTGGTGTCAGGATAATTTTACTGGGAGGATCATGCGGCATGATTCCCCAGTGCTAGACATCACTCTAAACTGCCACTGCAAACATCGTAAAAATGTGACTGAAAAATTGTTAAAGCTACGTTAAAAGTCATAATCACATCACATCACATCACATCACATCACATCCTAATGTTGCGTCATTTCTTGATATATAAAACTGCGTTCCAGATTATGTCCGTATTGTTATCAGGCTTAGTGATTTAGGTCAACGCCTTCGATACCGCCATGACATTGCAAAAGTTTTACCTTCGCTTTGAACGAAAGTGTATTACTCACATGTGCGGTCTGAATTACAAAAGTTAGTGTATTTCGACACCGTTATTATCGTGAAAAAAAAAATGCTGTCACTGCAGGTGCAGACAATCCTGTCTTAATATATGCTTATATCAGAGGTGTCATTTTATGCACAAACTGGGTACTCTTTCCAACGCTAACGATTTTGCGCATCAAAATCTGCTAGCTTAAACGATGTTAATATTTGGAAATGGAACGATTTCGCGAATTTGGCATGTTGTGAGATTTTGTAAATTATGACAAACGCAAAATATATTTGATGTAAATAGTCTCGAAGGCTTCGATAAAATTATATAAATGCATACATTTAGAAAACTTTCTACGAACGGCATTTTTTTAAAGATCATTTTTCGAGCACAGGATATTAGCGATTTTATCACGTTTATGCTTTAGTGCATAATTTCATAATTACCACATGTAAAATTTGGTACATAAAAATAGCACAGAGATGCCAGTATTTCCCACATTGTGTATTTTGCGAATGCAGACAATTGCACCTTATACTAGCTCTCCCCCCATGTAAACGCTCTCTATATAATGTTACGTTGGCATTAATATCAAACAAGTCAAGAAAGTTCATATTCCCATATTTTCATTAACACAACATAGAAGAGGCAATTTTGTTTTAAATGCAAGCAAAAGTTGGTTACTTTAACAGACTTGAAATCCGTAAGTAATTTTGGCATTTAAATAACGAATCAGCAATGCTTTTAATAATTAAAAAATTTACCCCCAAACCCTGTTACTTACATCTTGTAATTGTTGTATGTAACCTTTATGAATTGCATCAGACATGAAATTTTACAGTATAGAAAACATGACTTGAATAAAAATAATGATGCCAAAAGATAAATGGATCTTGGATCTCATATTTAATTTATACCAGTTGTGGCCTTAACGAGGTGCGAAAGGTACGATTGCACAGTTACTGCAAAGCTAAGGTAGCCCGACAATTTTGGGGTTTGCTTAAAACAGATTATAATTAAAGCAGATTATTTAAAATTAAATTTGACTTTGAATATAAATCTGTATTTTTTATGAATATTTCACTGAATTTCTTCAACGATATTGAAATTAGATTTTGGGAACACATTATCCTCATTTCGGACTGGGCCCGCACAGTCCCATATAACCGACGATCATATTTAATCTCTAAATTGAAATGGAATGCATTCATATGTCAGAAATTAGGTTCTTGTTCATTATTTGTCAGTTTTAATTCAGCCAAAAAAGGGAACTCAAGATTCGAACGATACATTAAAACGAGCTTTTGATGAACCAATTTGCCAATTGATCACTAAGTTATTCTTTTCTGTAGAACGCAGTTTTTACTTTGCAATCAAAGCTAAAAGTAGTCTATAATGAACATCATTTAGAACATATGTGACATTTTGGAAAGCACTTAGTAATTATTCCCTATTTCATGACTATCGAATCAAATCAACAAAAATAAGTCTTTGACTATTTATAAAACTGGTGCAGTGTAGGTATATATGTATATTCTATTGCCGCAGTCACGAATTCCTTCTGAGGATTCTTCTTTACACCCAATTGCTAACTCTTTTCATTAAGAAAATATTGCCTCCCATCAATATCAAACATTATGATGAAAAGCGATATAAATCAATTTCACAATATTCCTTTTGTATACACATCGTTTGAAGAAATCATTAAAGTAAGTATTTTGATTTCCGAAGTGGGTTAGAAGAATTCGGGTAAGTGTAAACGTCTTGCAAGATGCTCTATTTATTTATGGATCTATTAATTTAAAACGATATAGATAAGTAAACATACATATATACTGGTAGACGATAAGATAGAGAAATGACTGATTATGTAAAGACCACACCCACCTTCCTATTATAGGAAGCTGGATTACACAACGTCCAGTTTTGATTAGAATATTTTTTATAACGTTACGTTGATCAATGTTAAGTAATTTGATACTTTGTAGCTTGTTTACAAGACATTTTTATAAAATAAATTATAACTTATTTTCAAAGGTATATAAGATATCAAAAACTGGAACCAACTGACAATCAAATGCACTCACACTGACAACGTATTCTCATACCTTAACAACGCAACATAGTAAATCGTTTTGTATCCGTGCTCACCTGAGTGTTATCCCAAAGTCGCATCTGCAAAAATAAGTGAAAACCTTTTAAAGAAAGTTTGTCTCCTCTGAATTACATTAAATTGTCCTCGGAGCTTCCAAGCTTTTACCTCATTTTACTATCTGCTCCTTCCAATGGTCTTACAAATCGTCGATTTGTAGAGCAGATTTAAGCAGATATGAATACTTCAACAAATGAACTATTCTTGATATAACTTACATACATTTTAAAATTAAAATAAAGCAACCGATATGAGCATCCATAGCTTGAATTACACGTTCTTACTGAAAAGAATATAGTTCAATCTGTACATTTAATCTAAAGCGTTCTGTTCTAGGATGGCGTGTAGTATTTCTTTATGTTGAATAACGATAATAGCAATCATGCCACAAAGTACGTATCACTGTAATACCTAAATACGGACAAACAACATGATATAGGAAGACGTATAATACAATATAAGGTATATTTCGAATTTACTGAATTAACAAAGCAGCAATGGGGGTAAACATTTTAGTTCTAAATTTACAAATAGGATATAATAGCTCATAAAATGTTGGTATAATCATGACTATTTTTATGGCAAATTTTATTGTCGTCATTGCGAATCTGGACTTTGATCTAAAAAAAATTGATCACTAAAGATATCAGTGGAAGCGTTGATAATACTGGAAGGACATTGGCTTATTTTCATGCATAGTAAAATTGTTAATATACAATTTTGTTGAGAACATCATATATGATGGTACGATGATAAGAACATAACAAGAAAAGGAGTTCCAATTATTTTCCGATGTGTTTTAAGGTAGCGCTCTACAGTTTCGTATTTTGCACAGGGTTAAATTTTTAAAGCAAACGAATTTCCCCGGTATTCCTTACTAGTTACCTGTCAATTTAAAACATAACTTTAATGGCTTAGTTATTGTGAAAAGAACTTTCAATTCCCTTTATTTTAGTGAATAATTGATGGGTGTAATTTGGGTGATATAGTATATAGCTTGGCTTAGTTCAGATGTGTACTTTAAACAATCTGCAAGCTTTGCTGGACCATTTTCATTTCCTGGTCTACAAAGGGAGAGTGTTAAAATCAGCTGTGGCTAAGGTCAACATATCGTAGCACATGTAAATAAATGTAAGCACTGTTGCACGGCTTTAGTTTCATATTTTGTATTGTGACCTGGTCACCATATTACACTAGAGTATGGTCCCACACTATAGTGTGGCTATAATCACCATAACACATCGAGGCAGTAGTTCCATACTACAGGGTGGTTGTGGTTCTCATAACATACTGTGGCTATAGTCCCGATAACATGTTGTAGCCGTGGTCACCATACCGCAGTGTATCTGTGGTTACCATACCGTAGTATGGTTCGTTATATTGCGGTGGTTATATCCACATTGTAGCGTAGATGTGGTTACCATACTGCAGCACATAAGTAAATAAAGTTATGCACTGTAATCTGTAGTGTGGCTGCAGTTCCATAATGCAGCGTAACCATGGTTACTATAATGTAGTGTGGCTGTAGTTCCATAATGCAGTATAGCTATGGTTACTATACTCTAGTGTGACTGTAGGCCCATAATGCAGTGTAGCTATGGTTACTACTCTGTAGTGTGGCTGTAGGTCCATAGTGCAGTGTAGCTATGGTTACTATACTGTAGTATGGCTGTCGTTCCATAATGCAGTGTAGCTATGGTTACTAAACTGTGGTGTGGCTGTAGTTCCATAATGCAGTGTAGCTATGGTTACTATACTGTGGTGTGGCTGTAGTTCCATTATGCAGTGTAGCTATGGTTACTATATTGTAGTGCGGTTGTAGTTCCATAAGGCAGTGTAGCTATGGTTACTATACTGTAGTGTGGCTGTAGTTCTATAATGCAGTGTAGCTATGGTTACTATACTGTGTTGTGGCTGTAGTTCCATAATGCAGTGTAGCTATGGTTACTATACTATAGTGTAGTTGTAGTTCCATAAGTGTAGCTATGGTTACTATAATGTAGTGTGGCTGTAGTTCCCTAAGGCAGTGTAGCTATGGTTACTATACTGTAGTGTGGCTGTAGTTCTATAATGCAGTGTAGCTATGGTTACTATACTGTGGTGTGGCTGTAGTTCCATAATGCAGTGTAGCTATGGTTACTATACTGTAGTGTAGCTGTAGTCCCATAAGTGTAGCTATGGTTACTATAATGTAGTGTGGCTGTAGTTCCCTAAGGCAGTGCAGCTATGGTTACTATACCGTAGCGAGGCTGTAGTTATATAATGCTATGGTTACTATACCGTGGTGTGGCTGTAGTTCCATAAGTGTTGCTATGGTTACTATAATGTAGTGTGGCTGTAGTTCCCTAAGGCAGTGTAGCTTTGGTTACTATACTGTGGTGTGGCTGTAGTTCCATAATGCAGTGTTGCTATGGTTACTATACTGTAGCTTGGCGGTACTTCCATAATGCAGCGTAGCTATGGTTAC